GCGCGCGCACACACACGCACGGCTCCCAGGGGCCCTGGCTCTGGCCTCAAGTCATGCTTTCTCTACCAGGGTCATGGCGAGCCGTGCACACTCCTTCTTGGCTGGCTGCCAAGGCTGTTAGCTGTTCCTCCTGCCTTTTCTACTCGTCTCAGAGAAGGAGCGGAGCAATCTTCCCATCCAGGACCAGGTTTTGCTGTTAAAATGCTCAAATGTTTCATAGCTCATATGGAGGAGGTCTTTTGTTGGGAACGTTTGTGGGGGGAGAGTGCTACTTGCCAGGAGCCCAAGGAATGATGCATGCTGGCCCATCGCAGATGGTAAGGGATGGGGTCTTGAAAAACTCCCACCTACCAACCCCTGTCCTCTCTCCAAGTCTCATCCACAGGAGCTCCCATAACACCAAGGGTCCCTGATAGGTTTGTGGGAGCCCAGCTAGATGCAAGAGCGTCGGCACAACAAATTCTCAGTTGTCCTAAAAGCCACTGGTAAACTTTTCATGTTCAAATCATCGCCTGCTGATGCCCCCAGCCAGCTCACCTGTAGCAGCCTGCCGGGGCTTCTGCAACCAAGAACCCTGCAAGGTACCGGCTGGGTTGGCTTGTTCTGAGGCTCGTCTCTGTGTCCACATTTCCCTTTCTCACAAGGACACTGGTCATCCTGGATCGGGCCCACCCTAATGACCTCATTTTAGCTTGATCACCTCTGTAAAGACTCTATCCTCAAATACAGTCACATTCTGAGGTCCTGGGGGTTAGGGCTTCCACAGATGAATCAGGACGGGGCGGGGGATGGGGGGAGGCAGGCATAATTCGGCCCATCACACCTTTTCTTCATTGTTGACTGGCTTCACTCTTCCACACCTTCATCTGCCAAAGTCTCGTGGGGGAGCCCAGCAGTTAAACAAATCATGTGTTTCATTCCACATCTTTTGCAAGACTTCCAATTACACCTTGCAGTTGGGCAAAAGACCACCTGACACTGACATGGGGGTGGGAGATGGACCCTTTACACCTGTGCTGACCAAGATGGCAGCCATTCAAATTGAGATGTGCCACAAGTCCAAACATAGACTGGATTTGACAGCTGGGTATGAAATAGAGAATACAAAATACCTCATTAATATTTTAAAATATTGATTACATGTTGAAATGATACTATTTTAGACATACTGGGTGACAAAAATATATTACTTCAGTTAATTTCACCTATTACATTTTTACATGTGGCTACCAGAAAAAAA